ATTTACTTGATATTTCGATCTGTAATGGGTCAGATTTTTTGACAAATGTACATAGTGAAAGGAATGTCTCAATATTACCATTGAGCCACAAGTTTTTAGTGCAGATTTGTAATGTTCGGTAATGGAATGGGAAACTATAAAGCCTTACAAATCAAATTCACACTCGCTTTATAAGGTGGTTTTGAGGTAAATCTAGTTGACAAGCCAAAAATAGGACTAAAAACTTTTCCTGTATTCCATCCATACGAAACAGGTGTTCAGTGCTTCCAGGTTTTCATTGATTGATTCAGTTTCAAAAAATTTAACATAAATGACACAAGGTAGAACAATAGACAATTTTATTTTTTGACTCAAGTGTATAAACTTACTTGATCAATAGTCATCACTACCGGCTCATCTAGAACGATCCATGTGACACATTCATTACATGGTGGGGTAGTTAATGATCCGGAATATGTGTAGTATCTGGATAAATCATCTGTATGATATAAAAATTTCACGGGTAAGGAAAAACGATCATTTAACATGCAACTTAAGAATTGATCATTTATAAAACAAATCACCTAAAGTTATGCACATTATTTTTAAAGTTCAGTTAGAGTATGCATGATTTGAGTCAGCCTCCAAATGCCCTGGTATTGTCGAGGGTGGAGACAGTCAGCCTCCCCTCTCGAAATGCTCTCACATGGCCACGCGTATATATATGTAGTGTCGGCTATTTGGTTAAGCCTATATACCTTATTCTAGCTTTCGGATAGCCTATTCTATTCCTTCTAGTTGAGTCACATTTTGACGTTGTTATTTATTCGCTTATCAATCTTGACTGTTTTTATATGAGCGTGGAGGTCTGTGTACAATTCTTATCCCACCACTCATTACATGTCTGTAACTTACTTTTGTGTAACTATAAATATTGATTAACGCTTGTTTAAATGGAAGTTGGTTGCCAGCCATCTCCACTCTGCGTTGTTTCTCTTCTCTGTATTCCATTCGCTTTATATACAAAGATATATGTATTCACAAGTCCATTCTCGTTATTCGACTTATTTAATTCCGTTATTGACCAACGCGATTTAAGTCGATGATTATATACGAGGATAGGCGATAACAAACATTCATACGATCTAATTGGAGTCAGATCCACGGGTCACTAAATATCCACTGCCAGGGAAGTCCTAAGCACTGCCTTCTCGAGACGGGGAGGTTGTTTGCGAAACTGAGAGGACGAAAAGTGAATGTCCGGCACTTTAACCGAGTTAGTGGATATGGAGGATCCACCTGAGGGAGTTGATAGACCTTTATTCCAAGACAAAGGTGCACATGGGCTCCAGGATCCTGAGGGAATGACTGACGTATCAACATATTGTTGGTCACCGGCTAATATGGGACTGCATCTCCTAACGTTGCTCTACTGCATTGTGGATTAGACCCCAGGATCAAAGGCACGACGTGTAGTTTCCTAAGAAAATTACGTGCTTCCGTTTGGGCACGCGGTCAGTATTCTAACCCTTACACAAATCAAATGATTTGTGGGACGCAAATATATTTGGTGCCTTCATGTACCAATGTTTATGTGTTTAAATAAAATAAATAAACGAACCAAGAAACTTTGGGTCTCATGACAGACGCTTAACATTTAAACCACTAAGTCCCCATTCAATCACATCTACGCTTAACTCCAATCAATTCACATTATTGCGCAATCAACTTTCATTGATAAGAATGAGTAAATGCTTCACTCCCTAAATAGTTGAATTCCATGGTTATTAACTAGAACTCCCAGAACAAGTACGCCGAATAAGCTCCTAGTGTTTAAACGATTACCATAAACATAAAGAAATGATGGAAATAGTAAAATTGTATAGTTGTCTATGTACTGAAATCTCGCCACGAAACCTGAAGTCCGTGGATCCTTACCTCAATGTTCGTGGATGGGTACTGTTCTGAAGCTTTGTACTAGAACAAAACAGCTTTTTCAGTACTCATTGATTTGCAGTTTATCTAGTTAAGATCGAATTTTAATCTGAACCATAAAAGACAAGATAGCAATGAGTATTTAGTTTACCATTCCTACTGATTTTATTACATTCAAGCTAAAAATACCAAACCACTCATAATATATATTAGTATTCATACAGTGGTTTTCATTGTATCACTATCTTATACCTTAATTTTGCTTGATAAAATAACTTGATACTGTTTAATAAACTAATTATTATTGGTAATTCATTTTGCATTGGTTATCTGAATATTTTCATTGATTTTTAGGACTGTAATTGATAAGTCTGTAATCTGCATCCTGCGGGGATTGCCTCGATAATTCCATGAGTTTCAATCATTATAAGCAACAATGGATGATAACTATCACTGGAATTCAGGACACGTGTTTCTTCCATTGTTTTGAACATTAATTCTGGAATGTAGGTACATCCAACTAATGAGTTCCAAATAGGTCGAAACGCGCGTCCTAGATTTCACAACTAACCACCATCCACCTTGACTTATTATTATTGATGTTTTTCAAATGATTTAAAAAATGTATTCAATAAAATATCATGTTGTTTATGAATAAATTAGAATCTAACATAAATTAAGGAAGCAAAATCTTTAATTAAATTTTATTTTAATATTAAAACAATCATTAAAAAAATAGTTTTAAGTCTTAAGAATAATTTAAACTTTGATAAATTTTAAGTTATCAGCATAGGATTATGGATATTATTGAGTTTTGATCGAGATCATGAATAGATCAATGTTTGACTACCATTGAAAACATGGAAGCACTGGACGGTCGTTTCCTCCTAGTCTCAGATCATGGATGCATACTGCTGAGGAGTTTCATACTAGGACGAAACAAGCATCCAGTGTTTCCAGGTTCTTAATGGCTGTCTAACATTGATCGGTTTATGTTATCGGTCAAAATGTTTAGTTATTATGTTCAAAATGTCATCAGTTGATTAATCAGATAATGTATCCCTAATAAATGGATAGTTATATTACATTGACTGTGTCCGAGAACAAACCAGATCCCAGCGGAGGAAGAAATTAAGAAGAATTGCTGGAAGTGGATAGGTCACACATTGAGGAAAGCACCCAACTGCGTCACAAGGCAAGCCCTCACTTAGAATCCCCATGGCCAAAGGAGAAGAGGAAGACCAAAGAACACATTACGCCGAGAAATGGAGACACGTATGAGAAAAATAAACAACAATTGGATAGAACTAGAAGAGAAGACCTAGGACAGAGGGGATTGGAGAATGCTGGTCAGCGGCATATGCCCCATTAGGAGTAGCAGGCGTAAGTAAGTAAGTAACTAAGTATATTATATTGAAGATTTTTAATTTAACCTTAAAAACCATACTACAATTAATGTTGTGTTAATATTACATGATAAGATATTATTAATACTAGAATAATATCACTAAATATCTTCATAATAAAAGAAAGATATTAAAATGAAAATCCAAAACAAGAATAATAATAAGAGACTTACAGCCAATGAAACATTGTTTTATTGAAAAAAGAGGAACTTTTCTTCATGATAATACGGTTTATTAAAGCCAAATAATTAATTGTATTTATAATGATTAAAAAAACCATATTAGTCTCTGAAGGGGTTTTGTGGATATTAATTTTAATTGTTAAGGTCATGAGTCAATTAAAGCTAGACCACCATGGGAAACCTAGAAGCAGTGGACGGCCGTTTCGTCCCACTGTGGGACTTCTCAGCAGTGAGCATCCACGATACCGCCTCGCCAGATCGAGCGCTTAAACTCTAGACCACTGAGCCGGCATCCAGGGGTGTTAATGTCTAACTTCAACTAATCAACAATGGTGGATGTGTCGCTCAATATTGTGGATTAATATATTAATCTGTTAAAAATTAAAAGCGAGTGTATCACCAACTGTTTCACGTTTTTTAACTTTTACAAGAATCCTTATGAAGATGTTGCTTTGAACGGATTTTTAAAAGGTTAATTTAGCACAGTCAACGAATTCAAAGAGGAATATTTCATTTCACTTGAATTAGTTTTTAAAATAATCTACGCAGATAACCTAATTGTTGTGTATTGTAGGAGTTTGAACAAATAAGGCGTTCGTGCCTAATATCTCTGTGCGTGTGTGTGTGTGTGTGTAGATGTATCATATGTAGACACTCATTCTTTCATGATCTTAACATTTATTCTAGTTTGTTTTTTTCTATTTTCCCCATCAACAATGCCCTCAAGCAATTTTTCATGGATGTTAACTAATTGTGATTTATCATTATTTCTATTTTTCATTTCTTTCTCCAATCCGTTTTATGGACAATTAAGTTATTTTCATCTTAATATTCAAGCACTATACAGTGTATAAAAACAATAACAATGAAATTAATAATAATCAAATGACAGTTTGTCAAGGATTATAAATTCATATGTGTTTTTAAGAGAAATAATGGATAATTACCAACATAATGTACATAAATTGTGTACTCCTTTCACTAATAATACAGTTGTACAGCTTCGGTAAATGATTTTGTAGAAGAGAAGTTTTTCCAGTGAATTGTCTTCAATTCTTTGTAATTAAGCGATCATATAAATTAAGTGGGGATAACCTCCACTGTCATTCGCAATTTTGACCCTTCACTTGACAACCACCCAAAATAAAACGGGAATTATTGATTGCACTATAATAATCCATGATGGAGGGCGTATTTCGTTCGCTGTCGTTTTTACTCGCCTACATGAAAAATGTGGAATTTTCTTCGACTAAATTACCACTTCATGATGCTATGGATGCATTAAGTGTAGCAGAGTCAGCCATGATAGAAGAAAAATTACAACATAGCGAAAATCATACCTCATATTAATTCTATAATAAAAATCATCTTAAAATATCCACAATTTAGTGACTAAATAAACGAAAACATACCCATTATTACTGATATTATTAACTTAGATAACTTGACAACGTGGAGTTTATCCCCAGCCTATAAATTGTTTTGTTTCAAATTAAGGTTTTATTGACTAAATCTTTATTTCATTACTTAATTGAGAAAAGAACAAAACTGATTTACACTTAAAATAAATTGATAGCTCAAAATCGAGGAGATAAAACTTAAAAGTAATTATTTTCAGTGACAGGGATGACACAGGTGTTGTTTGAGGCTACGGGACAATATTTTTCATAGTACATGTAGAACTTTGAAAAAAAGCAATGAAGATTAGTAATACAAGTAACTGGAACTTTTAATTCACCATTGTTTCCAAGGTTGTTGAAATGTTTAGCTCTAACGTTGATAAATATATTAACATTTGTTACATTAAAAAATTGATAAAGATAGCTAAAATGCACACGAATTCAACAAAATTTGTATTTCTAGCGTATTTACAACTGCTTTTTGTCAAAAAGGATTGAACTTTAAGATTGGAAGCTTGGAAAGCATTACATCGGCAATCTGTTAAAGTTAAATATGTAGTTTGTTGGATTTCGGCTAAATGACCTAGAAGTTAAATATTTGCGCACGAAATAGAAGGTTCTGAGTTTGGTCTCAATAGTGGAGTTCCATACTAGAAAAAAACAAATGTCCAGTGCTTCTGTATATTCAGTGACGGTCTAGCTACGATCACTTTCGAGTTTAAACCAAGAAACGTCCACGACATAATGAATATTATTTCATGTTTACAAGTAGTAGTAACCGAAATTTAATCCAGAATGTCGAAGGTAAAATATTCATTCATTCATCTTCAATCTTTGATTTTAATCCGAGTATATTGTACTCATGAACGACGAAGTAGATAATCAACACTTACGCACGTGCTAATTTTTCAGGTGATTTTGGGAACAATTATAATGTACGAAAATGAAATGATAGTCTGTTTCATTCGTATTGATTGTTTGAATATTCTCGTTGACGATTACGGCTGCTATTGGTCAGTCTCTTTTGGAATATGTGAAGCCTATGCAGTTTGCCTAGATTTTAAAATTAAATAACAATATCGCAGTATCGAGGTAATCCACACAACATACATATATATCAAACTAGAGTGATCAATTGCAGTCGCAAAATGCTAATGGAAGGATTTGAACAACCAAAACAAATGGATTAAATTTCGCTCAATTATACAAGCCAGTGTCTAGTTCAAATCTGAAGCGAACGGTATTCACATTGAGTTGCCGGGTAAACGGTCATTCTAAGATGCAGGTACATTTAGCTGAAGAGTCCTGAAGAGGCTGAAGTGGGAGTCCTAGATTCCACTGCCAGCCGTCAAGCGACGGCCGATTCCGTTTACAAACCTAGACATAAATGACATTTCGACAACACTAGTTGGTAGAATGTTAGATAATATCTTTTCCTTACGTCATCAAGTTTGCTTCTTAATTCACGGATACATTTCTTTCACATCACATTATGTATATATATATACGTGAACAATGCATCTAGATTACATTCACTAGAAACTGAAATAATTTGAAGGACTTTCGAAAATCAGGGATTGCCGGATGGGTGTGAACTTCAACTGACGTTCGTTTATAATAAAATTCACCATCTGATTACAAAATACTTTCCAGAGTCACTTCAATATAACATAACCATGCACTTGACAACTAGATTTGAGAAGGATATCTGAACGTTCTAGAGGAAAGTCTATATATATACGATTATCATTGAGGACCGTACCAAAACACAATTTTACTGAAATTGAAAGTGCTGATTTTTGGTTTTCAGCTTAATAATCTAATCATACAGTAGAAGTTGGATGACCTTAATTATACTCCATATAAAGTATTAGATAAATGTGTATGACTGAAAAGTTTCAAACAATGAGTGAAAAACTATGCAGCGCTTCTTCAGTTTTCGGCAATATCAACTCGTCATATAAAGTGACCAATAAATTACTTGAAGTCTAATGAAAAAGGACCAAGGCACTATACATATATATATCAAAATCTCTCGAACTACCATTTGTTGGAAACCTTTGTAAAACTCAACCTAATCTCTTAATTTTATTATTCTAAATCTAGTATCAATCATTATTCATTGGCAAGAATATTATATAAAGATGAGTTTTATGTGGGAGTTACCAATCGGATTTATCAGAAGGAGATCATTCACATACTTTGTTAAATACTTTACTTAGTATGAAGCATTAAAGAAGGATCTATCAACATGTATTTCTTTTTTTTAAACATACCAACAGTAATACACACATAATGAATGATAACGATGTATAATCATTACAATTAACTAAAAGTAAATACAAAATACCATAATACGTGTATAATTTACACAAATTATCTCAACAATAAGATTATTGGTTACTATGTCGTTCAATAAAATAAAACACATCAAATTTATAGGCTAAGAAATTTATTCCCTCTTACAACCAATTGGTTGATTGATTTTCACCTTTGGTATGTATACTTGAAGGCAGAATATACAACAACAACAACAAAATGTGAACAAGTTATTTTGTTTAACAGTCATTAAAAAAATGTATAAAATTAGTTAAATCATTAGTGAACATTTACAGTAAGTAAGTGGTAAAAACCGATTACTAAATAGTTCATAATCAATAATAAAAACAAACGTGGAAAAGTATAAAATTTTAACAAACTAATAAAATAACAACCTTATTGTGTAAATTTCATTTAGGTACAATGATTGTATTTGACTCTGTTAATAAAAAAAGCTCAACATTTAGACAGTTTAGTAAATTTTCTCTAGTCGCCAAGGGAACTCCGTGATATTATTTAATTCTAGGCGGCCTGTATGAATATCTGGGCTACCTGTTCCTGCTATCTGGATATTTCAACAAGTTATCTGTTTTCTTGTTTGTTTTAACACATCATTATGCCCAATAGTCACATCACCTATTCAAGAGCATTTATGACAAGTTTACAATATTTCGTTGTACAAGTTTCAAAAAAGCTCAATCAGAGACATTATGGTAGCTGGCAATATGTATCGAAATGAATGTATGTTATTCAATTAGTCGATTCTCGAACTGCTAACATCTAATTAGTGATTACTCATTATTTATCGTCAGGATCGATCAAGAAAGAAGAAAAGGAAAATTTTTGAAATACTTTGCGCTGAGAATTCTATATTGTACCAGAAATATAATATTGAATAAAGCCAGTAATGATAATTAAATGGATAAGATAATTACATAAATAAGTTATTTGGATTTTTTTCTTGAACAAACCATAATATACCAGAGAAACTCAATAACTTTACTAGAAAGTGTCATTAACTGATAAGGAACATAAAATGCAGTCCATAAGTTAGAGAGAGTATATATGGCAACTATTTGCATGATTTCCATAAATTGTAAAATTGTTTAAATGATGTTATACACCAATTTGATTATAAACCACTGATATATTTGTACTATTTTTTAAAAAAAAGCAAAAGATTACTTATTACAATATGAATAACGTTTTTTGAAATTTTTGTATGAAAACGGAAATCTTATCAATAATAATGACTTTTTAATCATTGGAGTAATCGGACTGTACAGCTTGGTAACAATCTAAATATCCCCCCCCCAAAAAAATCATGATCTCAATAGTTTAGTAATCCGGTGATTTTTAAAAAAAAAAGAATATTTAATAATTTTATTCGTAGTTTAATAACGTTCATGTATTCTAATAAAATTACTGGTCATAACATGAATTAGAAATTAAAAAACTATGTTTATAACATTTGACATTTGGCAAATGTTATTTAATCAGACCGTGTTTAAATCAATGAACATACATTTCTGTTTCTATCGTACAGTATTAGATAATAATAATAACAGTGATAAGTATTGTGGTAATAGTAGTACTATACGTTTTGAGATTTTTATATTTTTCGTATTAAATAAACAGAGTTATGTTTAGAAAATCCAGTTTACCCTTTTTTAAAAATTTAATATTCAATCATTATCATTGGCCTACGTGAATACTCTTGTTTACGTAAATTTGTAACAACATTAAAATAGTGAAATGTAGATCAGTCAATTATCGTTAGTGTTTGCTTATAATAATGTAAATAATAAAATGTGTAATTATGATAAAGTGTAAAAATACTTTAATACACAAATATGATTTTATGTTTTTGTAAATAAGCTAATTATTAATTTCAACTGATTCATGCATAAATACATGCTAATTTTAGAGGGTGGATCAATTCACTTATCGTTTGTTACAAGTGATTGTGTTTTATCATTTTTCTATATTTGAATTCACTCATGAATTGAACCTAGACCACCATGGAAAACCTGGAGGCACTGGATGGTCGTTTCATCCTAGTATAGGACTCTTCAACAGTGCTCATCCACAATCCCTCCTCACGAGATTCGAACCCAGGATCTATCCGTCTCGTGTGCGAGCGCTTAACTATTAGACCACTGAGCCGGCCGGCACGGAAAGGTGGTAATGTTTAACTTTCACCAATCCACAAAGTCGCGCCACCGGCCATCCAATGCTTTCACTTTTTCTATGGTGGTCTAGTTTTAATTGACTCATGAATTCAACTAATAAATTACTATAATATCCACAAAATCCCTCTCTGATTTTTTCTGTATATATGGTTAAAATGATTATAGATTGATGAGGACGGAAATACAAATTCACTCTTTTCACAAACTTATTTTTAATAGCTACAAATGAAGAAGTACTGTCAATTTCGAAATATGCTAGTTAAAAACTAGATCTTATCAAAGAATATTGTCAACATTTATGATATAGCATTAAACAATACAAACTAGACATGTAAATGTTAAACACTTAGAAAAATTACCGATGATTTGAGTTGAAGAAAAATAAAAATCTTGTAACATAAGACTTTTCTCATAATTTCAACTTATGTAATAGATGTACTTTTTGACTTGACAACCAGAAATATATATTCATAATGGGAGAATTCGAACCCCTACTAAACATTGTATATATATATAGTTAAAAATTATTTACTTACTTGGCAAAAGTGTGTTCAAATCAAGCATAGGTTGAATATCTTTGCTTTCGCCTTTCTTTGTTGATTTCAACAATGAGCATAAACGTTTTAAGGCGTTATTATTATTCGATGATTTGCCCAACTATAAAATAAACATTAGTAGGGTCTGTTAATGATATTATCAGTAGTGGTAGTAGTAATATTGTTAATGTAATTTTGGAGCTTATTCAATGAATTCATTCGATAAATGTTACCTGCAAACTGACATTATCCCCACAAACCCCTTGAAGTAAGCAACAATAATCCGCTCACTAGTGGTTTACCTTAAAATATTTAAGAAGTTGTAGCAAGAATAAGTAACAGGTTATGTTCACATACGTTGGGATTTAAATTAAATGTCACTATTAATATCAAATGATCGCCACATTATATCACAAACTGATTTGAATTGGAAGTATTCTATTGAGTGCCTTGTACTAGGCTTCAAGGATTTGGGTTTGGTCCCTGGTGAGGTCTTGGGTATGCACTACTGATGAGTTTCATGCCAAGAAGATGCACTTATCCAGTGATCTTTGATTTTTAACAGTACACCAACGGAGATCAATCTGTGGTGAATACTGCTTTTAAATTTTAAAAAAATCTCAAAACCCCATAAAATATTCATGGTCTATAATCAGTGAATAAAAGGTAACCATTTCGTTATTTAGTGAAAATAACAATAGTGTTGATCGGGTGGTTGATTACTTAACAAACCATAAAAATTATAACTGGAATACTTCGTTTACTTTTATTGTATACTTACTGTCTTACATTTTTGATCGAAACAAAAAAAACTATTATTCATAACGTTAAGTTATTCGTGTGACTGACTAAAAAAATGTGTTTACGAGAACATGGAATATATCGTCAATGTGAGAATGTAAAATGTATGTTAATTTCTTCCGTATTAGTTACATCTATAGTACAAAATAGGAACAGATCAATTCAACTTTACGTAATCAAGCTTCTGTTATAAAGTAGGATTCGGTAGGGAAATAAAATTTGTAGTTATTAAAATAAAATTCATGTTTCGTTCTTCCTCTCAATGTTTTATTTAATTTAATTTAACCCACTCTAGTATTACAGACAAAAGTGTCACTACAACACCATTAACGTACTTCATTTATTTTCAGAAAAGGTTTGTGGAGATTTTAGAAATTTCACAGATTGAAATCATGAGTCAATTGAAGCTAGACCACCATGGAAAACCTGGAAGCACTGGACGGTCGTTTCGTCCTAGTATGAGACTCCTCGGCAGTGCGCATCCACGATCCCGCCTCCCGAGACATTCGAACTCAGGACCTATCAGTCTCACGCCAGGCACTTAACCAACTAGACCACTGAGCCGATATCAAATGGTGTTAATGTCTAACTTCAACCATTTATTTATTAACTTAACCGATATGAATGACCTGTTATGAATAAAATGTTATTAAAACATCATTATAAATTTACTTGCTTTTTATTAGATATGAAAACCTTTTCACACACTATTGAATGGACAAAGTAAACTATCTGGCATCTTAAACTATTTCTAAATAATGAATTAGGAATTATGATATTATGATTATAACGCTTAGATATTAAAAAAAACTCAATCAAAATATTGATCATACTGAATATTCAGCCTTGTTTCTCTTTACTATTTAAACGAATGTTAATACAACTGAATTATTTATTTATTTATTCTGTAATGATGTGACTTGTACAAAGCTGTGAAATTAACAGAATTCAATTTTCTACTCATTAGGATCATTGAGAAATAGATGAACAGTTTTTTCTTTCTCTTATTGTAAATCATCATCAACAATTACAGAAGATGAAGAGAATTTAGCGAAGAAAATTTCCTTTTCGATGAAATCCAGAAGATCTGTTATTATTATTATCATAGAATTTAGAATAATTTAATAAGCAATGTCGAATGTAGTATACACAATATTTAATTTTAATAGTTGAGATCATGCGTCAATTGAAGCTAGACCAGTGTGGAAGATCTGGAAGCAGTGGAAGGCCGTTTCGTCCGACCACGGGACTCCTCGACAGCGCGCATCTAAGATCCCGCCCCACAAGATTCCAACCCTGGACCTATCAGTCTCGCCCGCGAACGCTTAACCTCTACCAAAATCTCCACGAAACCCTTTCCAATATTTATTTGGTTGAAATCATTACCCTAGTGAAATCACAACAAACACAACGAATAGTTAAGGACAAACAAATATACAAAGAAACAGATTTGTTCCACTTTTATTAATTAAATTTAAAAGAAAAAGAGAGATTTCATTGAAATGGTGCACAGTAAAAACAACCGATAATGGGTTTATAGCTAATTATATAAAGAATACAAAGAAGAAGAAAGAAAGAGAAGAAAAAGAGGAAGCAACTACATTAAATTATTCATAAGGAAAAAATAGCGAAATTAAGAAGAGAAAAAAAGTAATCGAAATCTAAGTGTTTTTTCAAGTAAAAAGAAAGATTTCCTAATAGAAAAAATGAAAGTAGGTTGAGTTTCTGAATTCAGTAAAAAAAATTCAATTCGGTGGCTCCTGAGACATGTTCTCTTTAATAGTTTTTTGTTGTTGTGAAATATATGCGAAGCTTATGGATCTTCAAGCTTAAGTGTTCTTGAAATATTGATTAGGTATTGGGGAACAAACACGTAAATAGTATTAAGATGATATATATGGAATATTAGTCAATGATGAGTACTTTTACTATACGTTTTTCGTATTATTTTTTATTCATTTTCCGAACCAAATAGAACACTTAATATAACGATAATATGTATTCAAGACACAATTAATTGATAAAATGCATATGAGTTCCTTGTTCCATTCAAACAAGTATGGGCATTCCTACCTTTATATTTTCAACACTATCTTGGAAATCCAACATTATAACAATTAAGATAACTGATTGAGCAAAGGAATTATAATGTTACGATGGCCTTCTGATCACATTAGCTGACCTTTTGTAGTAGTTCTTCATATGTAGAAGATAGTTCCAGAGCATAAAATTAGGAAATTTGTTCAATTTCTAATTAACCCATTTTAATAAGTTTTATGGTAGTTGGCCTATACACATTTCGAATAGTAAACGTAATTTCATCACCTGATGGGGTAATTTGCAATAAATTTAGTAACAGTCAATTAAATCAATTGTAATCATTTCGCATTAAAAGTAGGGTAAAATGAGTAACACGTTTTGACGCCTTAGTTAGCGTTGAAGTGTAGTAAAGTCTACGTAACAACATGTGTTATAGATCACTATTAAAACATATTAAAAAGCGTTTACACTCTTTATTTAATAAAGAATCTATAAACCTAAGAATTAAGAACTACACTGGTAACTGCTTCTCACTAGAACTCCAGGATATAACTCTTGAAGCCAGTCACTAGTGAGCATATGTTGATTCATATCAGAAGGGTTTTGTGGATATTATAGTAATTTCAATGGTTGAGATCATGAGTCAGTTGAAGCTATACCACTATGGAAAACGTGGAAGCATTGAACGGCACTGGATGTGTCGCTCGATTTCGTGGATCGGTTGAAGTTAGACATTAATACCGTTCAATGCCGGCCGGCTCAGTGATATAATGGTTAAGCGCTCACGCTCGCGAGACTGGAAGGTCCTGGGTTTGAATCTAGCGAGGAAGGATTGTGGGTGTGCACTGCCGAGGAATCCCGAAATAAGACGAAACGGCCGTTCAGTGCTTCCGGGTTTTCCATGGTGGTCTAGCTTCAATTGGCTCATGATCTCAACCATTGAAATTACTATAATATCCACAAAACCCTTCTGATATGAATTGAAAACTACTGAAAGACAACTTATAGCTAATGTTTGTGATCATCTTTACCATAAATGGTTGATTTCTATCAAGTGGCTCAGAGAGATTTTTTCCTACCCATATTCTGAAACCATTAGATTCTATTTGATATGATTTGGTGGATGTATTGCAGAGCAATATTTTTTCAGTACTCCACGGGTTTAAGACGTTCAGCAGTTAATATCATTCATTGGCAGGAAGTTGTTTTCAAAGTACCCTACAATCGGTACATGGTCATCTCGTTTCATAAAGAATAGATGAAATCTGGATTGAAGTTGTATCTAGGACATGAGCTTCATCCGATTTCGGACTCATCACCTTGATGTACCAGTGTTTACAACTTGATGTTCACTCCAGGATTCGAACGTGGTTTTAATTTATAAGTTTCACAAAGGAATCTCAATATATTTCCCGTGAATTGAGATTAGAATAATCATCAAATATTTACTCTTCAGACAAATATCAGAGAGAAAATTTGTGGGATCATTACGTTAGTGTAAATCAGAACAAAAGTGGAACAGAGAGCTTATGGCTTGAGATTTAAATTAAAGATGACTAAAGTTACTTCAAATGTGATGTGTATTTAAGTGTTACCCACAACCGCTCTTAAGTTTGCTAGTTCTCGTTTTAAAAAATTATAAAAATAATTTCGAGGACGATGAAGTTTTACATGATGGGCTCCAAATTTAGTCTATTGAAGGTAGATATTTACCCATAGTAAACGTCACTATTTGTTTTATTCAGTGGTGTTCTTTTCTAAAAAGGAATCCAATCTAATCTCGAATGACTTCATTTATTCATTTTATCCATCGACAGACTCATGTTTAAGTGTTTTTCTGTAACACGAATCAAGAATAAGGTGTTGTCTGAGCCAGATTAGCCGAAAATTTATTTTATCAAATAAATAATACTAAATATAACAATTATTATGAATACTGGATGCAAGAAAATACTAAAATAAAACAGATGTATCAAACATTTGTAAAGATTGGGTTTAATTTACGAGTTATCTTTCTCGTCTCAATTAGGTAAACACGACACGGCTATTTTCCCTCAGTCATGAACTTCTTAGCAGTAGTACTGTTCCATCTTCAATCAATTTACAACAGAACAGATGTAAGACAGTTACGCAATATCGTTATTTGATTTAAGTTAGACTTTAACGCTGCTTGATGCCAGTTCAGTAGTCTGAAGATTAAAAGTTTGTTCGCGAAATTCAGGATCCTGGGTTCGAACCCTGGCGGAAGTGCACTGATGATGGGTCTTATAGTAAAACGAAACGGCTATCCAGTGCCTCTACTTTTACAAAAGTAATTTAACTAAGGTCAGCTAATGATTTAAAATCTATTAAATATTACGGTATGGTGCGATTATCATCCAGTTTTATAGATATCAATAGTTTCAATCCAGCGATGTTTGAACTCTAAAAGTTACTAAATATTCTATCCAATTAAACAAGATTTTAATTAACAGTCAAAAAAGTGAACACCATATAGTCTTGTTTATAATTAGATAGATGAAATCCGGCACTCATGATGTTGGCCTTGTCACGGAATTCACCTGGCTTATTTCTACGAAACATAAATTATATATATATATATATCATTGAGATCATGGACCGACCAATGTTAGACCACCACTGAAAACTAGGAGGCAATGGACGGCCATTTCTTCCCAGCATTGGGTTCCTCAGAATCTGCCATCCACGATCCTGCACGCAGAACTCCAACCTATAACTTTCCATCTCGCGTGAACCTTTAACGTCCAGACCACTGAGAAAGTTTAACTTCAACTAATTCACAACAACACTGATCAGTTTATCATTCAAATCAAATTCATCAAACACCACAACCTCTAGCTGAAAATATATATCTTTTTATTTCATGAAATAAAAAATAGTTTGATGCTATGTTTTGGCTTTAATCAGTGAATTATGTTGACACTTACTTTGATGAATGTGGAAAAGAAAGTAATTTTTATTGGGGAAATTAAATTCAATGAGTCTGTTAAATTAATTTTTCTTTCATCATTATTACTACCTTATTACAATATAACTATAATTAGCGTATATTAACAATTACAGGTTTGACTGATAATTCCCATTTAAACATTGAAAATTAAAAATACGAAGTTCAGAGAAGGGATCTATTTTCAACGAATTTATTATCAAACTGTACAATCGTATATATATGAAAACTTTTTTTGTAAAAGTACTAATTCCATGAGGAAATGTGAACACGAATAACCAAGATGATATAATAGAGAGATTATAATACTAGTTCCGTAATACGAATAATAACAATAGATTTAGATTTAGTAAGCTTGTAACGAATTATAACTTGAATGTAGTAAGATGATTAAAATGATTAAAATGTTTTTGTTACAATAATTAAAGGTCAATAAAGTTCATAGTGGTGTAAAAATAAATAGGATGATATGATGAGCATTTATGAATAAAATAATGAGAATATAGGACATAAGTAAAGGGGGAATGCAGTAATAATAACAATAATAATAATAATAATAATAATAATAATTAATAAATAAATAATTAAGGCCAAGGTAACGATAACGATATGACATACTTATCTTGTACGCATACTTCTGGCTTGAGCTCATGTATAGTAAGAGCGTCGGGTATTTTTAGGAGTTGGATACGAAGAAATCTAGGTAAATTTGAACGAACCATATATTCAACCTTAAAATCAAACTGTGCATCAGTAGAATGATTACAGTCGACTAGGTGTTCAGGTATAGAACTCCTAGCTGCTTTCCTCCCACTCTTGTAGAACCAAACTGGAACATGTTCCCGTATCCGAGTTGAAAGAGAGCGCCAGCTACGGCCAATGTACCTTGCTCCACAAGAGCAGGTGAACTGGTAGATGCACATGGAGGCGACCAGACGCGGAAGCTTATCTTCTATGGATACAGAAGATAAGTTCCTACTAGTGAAAGTTATTCATCTTACCACATTCATGTTATAATTCGTTACAAGCTTACTAAATCTAAATCTATTGTTATTATTCGTATTACGGAACTAGTATTATAATCTCTCTATTATATCATCTTGGTTATTCGTGTTCACATTTCCTCATGGAATTAGTACTTTTACAAAAAACGTTTTCATATATATACGATTGTACAGTTTGATAATAAATTCGTTGAAAATAGATCCCTTCTCTGAACTTCGTATTTTTAATTTTTAAATACAGGTTTATAGATAATCTGCTTAGAGTTGGACTTTGATTGTGTAAAAACCAACGTTTCTACCCAGTTAATCAAACTGAAATAGAGTGAGGTTTCTAAATATAATCCTATTTTCTGTAGCTCACGAACCACTAATTATTTACTGAGATTGAACTGGATGAAACAAACACAGAGATGGTCAATTTATGACTTCTGACTCTAAAAAATAGCTAAATAGTGATAATGTATGTTGGTCTATCATGATTGCATCATTTGGTTCTAATAGATCATTTATCTCCATGGATTGAGACGTTATCAGACATAACTCAGAATGAAGATCGATGAAAACGTTACTGTAGATTTTTGTTACATGGCAAATAAAACTTTTAATTGAATGGGATTTGTCTTTGTAAATTTTTTATTAAAGCATATTCTTGTTGTCTCCTTAGTTAATGATTTTACTATTTTTTCTTCTTGTTTCTTCCCATAATATTATCATTTTCTTTCTTAATAGCCAGCTTTTTAAATGTCATGTTATACCAAAGTTTGTCATAGATAAACAAATGGAAAACAATCAGTGTAGGGGGTTTGTGAAGATGTTTAAATTTTATAGTTTACATCACAAATGGACTATAATTTGAAAACCAGTTAATAGCAGGTAACACTAAACAGATATGTTGTCCTTGTATAATACTTCAAAGGAAGACATATCCACTACCACACTGTGAATCAAACTCAAGATGTCCAAGCATCGTGATAAGCGCTCAACATTTAGACTACGCAGTCCATTCCCATTATCTTACATTTCTAACTCAATGATCTAGACGTCGAGCCCTCACAATGAGACATTCAGTTGCTGGGGTCGATTCTGAGTAAATATCTAGTTGGGCATTGCTGGTTGGTTTCAAACATATGTTTATTACCTCCAAACAGAACCTAAATCTGCAATCTAATAAAGATTAATTTTAAGTGTTTCAATCATCGGATCGATAAACCATCCTTTCAAGATATATGAAGTAAAATACACTGTTTTTGTGATCATAATTTAACTAACTTGAAAAAATATACCGACAACTGATAATCCATCAGAATAAGTAATAGCGGTTTCCATTGTAGCATATTTAGTATTAATAAATACACAATGTAGTTCAGCTGGACAACTTATCCCATTGATCATATGCTCAGAGCCCCAATTATTACCAGATCCCCAATGTAAATGAAATTGTATCAGCTTATATTCTGATGCCAATGGACCACCGGATAATACTACAAAATAATTGAAAAGTAGTTTCATAGAAAAAAGTTATAAATTTTAATTTATGTTATATTTTCTAAAATAAGTTTTTAATGAAGTGCTCTAGAATTAGAAATTCCAGACAAAGATACGAACTTCATACCTTTAGAAAAGTTAGTAACTGTTTGGACTCAGTAGCTCAGTAGATAGCACGTCAGTACTTGAAGTGGAACGCACTGGGTTCGAGTCCCAATGTGGACACCAAAACTGACATGTTTGAAACCGATAGTACTTAGTTCAACTTACATAATGAGTATCGACGATGATATACAGGTATATGCAGCCAACTGTTTCCAACTAGAACAAAAGGCTCTTCCCAGTTTTCATTCCTAGCAACTAACAATCTCAAAAAATACTTCGAACTAACTGAAAATACACTCGGGATGCTTTTGTATTCATGTACACTGATCGATTGTAGTTTTCATAATAACAACACAAAAATACAGAACCTTACAAAAAGAAACCACTTTTAGAAGTTTCATAATTCGTTCTTAATGGTATTTATAATTATTTTTGATATAATCTAAAAATGTTGTTATGCTTAAACTACATAACATTTCACTCAGGAGTGTCAAAACATTTCTAACAAATCAAATTAAATGAGTAGACATTTTTGTAACATAATCTGTCATATTCACATTCCCTTAAGGAAATTTCAAGTATAAGCATTAGATAACGGTTTTCTATAGGCTTTCTTTTCAGTTATAACGGTAAATAAAAAATATACAGATAAAATAAGCAGTGTATAATAGTCTATAGATTATTTTTCATATGTTATCTCATCAGTTAGAAGTAAAACAAAATTGCCAATTAAGCTCAGAGACTAATTTCTTCATACGCTAGTGATTATATGTGTAAATATGTACTTTACAATTAACAATAAAATCAATACCAATTACAAAATGGTTATTTATTTAAACACATAAAAATTGGTACAAAGAGGCACCAAACAGATATGCGCCACATAAGTCATTCGATTTATGTGTGGACTGGGATACTGCTCAGGTGCCCAAACCGAAGCATGTGGTTTTCTAAGGGAACCGCACCCGGAGCCTTCGACCTAAAGGTTTAATCCACAAGACAGTGGAGCAACGTAAGGAGATGCGGCCCCATGGTAACCGGTGACCAATAAGTGCTTCATGCGCCATTTGTTTCCTTAGGATCCTGAAGCCCATGTACACCATTAGTGTGGAATCAGGGTTTTCCGACTCCCCTAGGTGGATCCTCTGTGTCCACCAACCCTCTTAAAGTGCCGGACATTTGCTTTTTGTCCTCTCAATTTTGTAAACAACAAACCTGCCACGAGAAGGCAGTGAGTAGGATTTCCCTGGCAGTGGTTGTATGCACGTGACCATGTGAGAGCATTTCGAGAGGATGAGCTGACTCTCCTCACTCTCGGCAGTACTTGTGCATTTAGGGGTTAGTCGGGATTTTTGACCAAGGGCACAATTCAAAGAGGAAAGAAAACAAGATTATTGCTGTATTTAAATGTACTGTAATAATTATTATTTATTAATTAGATTTAAACATTGTTTTGAAAAATTACTATTCATTTCATAGTAATCATTCAAGCTTAAACTATATACCCCCATTTAACTGAATTCTAATTAATTTATTCTTTGATATTGTGCTTACCATTGAAAAGTTGGAGAGATCTAGACTTTATCGTGCATGTGGTCGAATTGCTTACTGTTGCAAAACCCTAAACTAGGACAAATTAACCACTCAGTGTCTTTTTATTTTTACGTACGTATATCCAATTGATTGTGACTACAAGTGATTGATTGCTGAGTAGTAGACTAGTGTTAAGGTTTGTCTAATCTTTTAGTGTAAGCGATATTCAGTCACAGAACTAGAAAACATAGCGTTGGTTACCACGTAGTATCAATCAAATTTAAATATCTCAGCCAATCCCACGCCGAACAGCTCAGTGGAAACGTCCCGATATGTAATGCTATACGACACCTGTTTGAACCTATCAAGAAGCATCAGTTAACCCAGGATCCCAAGCACGTCTTAATGACAAATGTTAACTAGATTTTTTGACGACTAATTAAGACCTCCTGAAGTTCATATTTGTCCATAATAAATGCTATCTTTTTTAATTAGATTTTCTCAAACACTGTTGATTCAACAATGACTGGAAATAGTGTTATGAAAATTTGTGTTAATAAGTCAACTATTATATATACTTATTAGCATAAGCTGCTTTCAGATTAATATATTCTTTCTCAATTACGAATAGAATTTGTTATGATCTGTATCATAATGCGTGAATGGATAGATAAGAAAACTCTAGCGAAATGACGGGATAAAGACATTTTTCACCATAATGTGAAACCGATTTCGAAGATAAAACTTAAACAAACAAGAATACGATTATCATATAATGACGAAACAAAGGTGAAATTGTATCTATCATATTTTTCCAAGACACCATATGTAGTTCATGGAACTATTTAAACATATTATGTCGTGCTCATCATATTTAAGAAATGTTGAATCACTTTATGTTTATGGTTGTCATATTCTTAGTTCGAGTGAAATGCTCTTCGTAAACTTTTACCTCTACAATTCATTGGTCACTAAGTAGTGGTAATTAAAGTGTTCATCTTGTTCTTTCGTATCGACCAAGTCCTAAAGATTATGTTGCAATTAGGTCACTAGTCGAAGTGAACCGACATCACATCCACTGTGTCAAAATCTCAGGTGACTGAAAGCAGTCAGTATGAAACCCTGCCCGAACCAGGCTCCTTAATGTCAAGAACTTGTAATGTTGAAAGAAACGATTATTTTCGGATACACTTATCTTCACATCTTGATAAATCATTACCAACCAATTCAATCCTCGATGGATCTTCAGTAGGACTGAGTTATCTCCAATTGATTGATCTTTGAGTAGTAACCAATTTCATGTCTACATTGTTTCGTTGTCAAAATATTTCCTACGCACAATCAATGTACAATTATCAAAACGATATTCTTAAACCATTTTTATTTCATAAAGATCTTATGTTACAATGGAGAGAATTTATATATAAGACGGATCTTGATCGGATTAAGTTGCCCAGTCTTAGAAGAAACAATATTAGCAAAAGATTTTATGGAATCCAATGATATTTAACTAAGTGTTTGACTAACTGATGTGAGGCCACTCACTATCGTTTGGTCTACCAAACTGGATTTAAATTGAGGACATGTTATTTTTTATAAGTTAGAATTTTCAATATTTTTTTATTTTGAGATATCCTCCTATATGATTATAATTTGGAATGGATCACATTTAGTTTAATGTATTGTGCGATTTATTGATTTATTGATAATTATCACATACACCAATATAAGTTCCCTACGCTTCGTAAACTATTCTATTTCTCTTCAGTAAACCACAGTTGTGATAACTACAGGGGCATCACTCTTCTCTCGGTGCCGGGAAAAGTCTTCAGCAGGGTATTGTTAAACAGGATGAAGGACTGCGTAGACGCCCAACTTCGTGACCAACAGGCAGGATTCCGTAAAGATCGATCGTGTACAGACCAAATCGCAACTCTACGGATCATTGTGGAACAATCAATTGAATGGAATTCATCACTCTACATCAACTTCATTGACTACGAAAAAGCATTTGACAGCGTGGACAGAACAACACTATGGAAGCTTCTTCGACACTACGGCGTACCTCAGAAGATAGTCAATATCATACAGAATTCATATGATGGATTACACTGCAAAATCGTGCATGGAGGACAGTTGACAAAGTCGTTCGAAATAAAGACTGGTGTCAGGCAAGGTTGCTTACTCTCACCCTTTCTCTTTCTCCTAGTGATCGACTGGATCATGAAGACGTCAACATCTGAAGGGAAACACGGGATACAATGGACATCTAGGATACAGTTGGACGATCTAGACATTGCAGATGATCTGGCCCTTCTATCCCAAACGCAACAACAAATGCAGGAGACGACCAGTGTGGCAGCAGCCTCAGCAGCAGTAGGTCTCAATATACACAAAGAGAAAAGCAAGATTCTCCGATAAAACACAGCATGCACCAATCCAGTCACAATTGACGGAGAAGATTTGGAAAATGTAAAAACCTTTACATATCTGGGCAGCATCATTGATGAACATGGTGGATCTGATGCAGATATGAAGGCGCGGATCGGCAAAGCAACTGAGGAACATCTGGAACTCAAAGCAACTGTCAACAAACACCAAGGTCAGGATTTTCAATACAAATGTCAACACAGTTCTACTGTATGGGGCAGAAACCTGGAGAACTACGAAAGCCATCATCCAGAAAATACAGTTGTTTATTAACAATTGTCTACGCAAAATACTTCGGATCCGTTGGCCGGACACTATTAGCAACAACCACCTGTGTGAAAGAACAAACCAGATCCCAGCGGAAGAAGAAATTAAGAAGAATTGCTGGAAGTGGATAGGATACACATTGGGGAAAGCACCCAACTGCGGCACAAGACAAGCCCTCACATGGAATCCTCAAGGCCAAAGGAAAAGAGGAAGACCAAAGAACACATTACGCCGGGAAATGGAAATAGACATGAGAAAAATGAACAAGAATTGGATGGAACTAGAAAAGAAGGCCCAGGACAGAGTGGGTTGGAGAATGCTGGTCAGCGGCCTATGCTCCATTAGGAGTAACAGGCGTAAGTAAGTAAGTAAGTAAACCTCAGTTACAGTTTGCGTAATTATATGCTTGATTTTCATTAACTCTTTTAGTTCACAATATTAGACCATTATTTCGGTAACCATACACTCAAGTAATATATATATGATTACCCCTTTTTCCACAGAAGATGAATCATACCATTTCACTATCATATAAATTAATTACGCATTATCTTAAGCTGGTCTAATTCGTTCTGCACTTAATTAACAAATGAATAACTATAGAAAATTGTTATTTTATGCTTCCATGAACATTAAAATATAAAAAAACAGCGATTATTTA